TCTACCACAGGCCCCTTTGGAGAAAATTATTCAGTAGATTTTAGTGGGACCTATTCCTTGATGCCGATGTTTTCAAAAAAAACAATAACTGTGATAGACACGTGTTTTCTGATGGTGAAATGAACTGATTTATATGAAGAATTAGTGATTCATATCCGTGTAAAATGCTGGCAATGTCATATCTCAAGTGCTGTGACTGTGGGAAGGGGAGTGAGAAACATTGATGATGAGAGCTCCAAACTCGCGTTGTCGAGGCTGATGATGACAGTTGAGTTGTCGGCCTCATTGGTTTACTGAAGACCGTTTTTTTTTCAAAACATTGGTGGGAAGAATAGGATATGAGAGGCTACTGTTAGGTGGCTATGTGCATCGGACACAAATCTGATTAACATGAGAAGTCCAGATGAATTGCTCAGATTTGCCTCCGTAAAACAGTTCCTATGCATCGTACAACCAGGTTCCCGTTCTTTTCGACCTCTTCAAATAGTTCCTTCCGTAGGCCCGCGTACCGGGAGCAAGGGAATGTTCTGTTGCCTCATGTCATCTCCCCACGTGACAGCCTCTCGTAAAATCGCATGTTGTAGGCAAAGTTACCACCAGGAAAGTCATCGTCCTTAAACGAGTTTTGGGCCACATGTACCCCGACAAAGTTCGAGCACTGTGCGCAGTCGCCGGTACACTCACTCGGTCCTTTGCTTGGACGCACGTCGCAGACGCGCACACAATAGTGTGAATTACCAGCCCCGTCAAGCTTTCATAGTGTCGCTTCCGCATTGTCCGTGCGTCCGAACCCACACATTTGGGCATTGCCTGTAGCGTTGAGAAAGTTCGTCCAGCTGGTAACACGCGTGCGCAGCCGAATTACATCGAAAAGATGAGCACATTACGTTTGACTTTTTCCCGCGTCCAAGTTTTACCAACCCCGTTTAAAGATATCCGCAAAGCAATTAACTTGACCGTTAGATTAAGAATGGTAGAATGGGCCACACAAATGTTGGACTCTGTGAAAAGTGAAAAACTGAACATGAACCTTAAATGGAGCTCCCAAGGTCTGTCTTTAACAGCGCCGGAACCCTGAACTCCTCGAACAACTCGTTGAGGATGAAATTCGTCAGGCAACCCAATCCACACTGCTGAAACGTAGGCATGTTCACCTCTGCAAACGTGATGATTCAGGTGCGTCCAGCATGCGGCGGTCGAGTCTGAACACAACCTTTTCCGCCACAAGCGGCCTTACCTTTTGTCAGTGGGGCTCTTAGGCCATTCAGATCCAGGGTTTGTGAGTTCAGCGCAGTAACTCGGATGCTGTCACATCTGTGGTCCGCACCGATTGATCTGTAAGCCACTAGTGTAGTTGATAATACATACGTCACCCGAGAAAAGCGTAGCCCACACACCACTACTGAAGCTGTGGGATGTATTGGTACCATGGTGAGATTTTTAGGAGTGCGTTGGCACTGTAACCGTGACAAGCCAATGCAAATTGCTGCCTAGAGCATTAAAAATGTCCGTAATAAAGATGACATTTGGTTGCTTGAGTGACACCACTGATGGAAGATGTATGCATTTCATCCATCGTGAGCAATGAATCTTCGTTACATCTATCCCAGAGTGAGTAATTTCCGCAGGTATTATCGGTGTTGTGGCCCCCAAGACAGTTTACTATCCTAATTAAGTATAAGTATTCCATAGTTTGGACGAGTATAACCTGGATAATTAAAGCCTTTCAAGAGTTCATTGAAATTCGGGTGCAGCTAGAAGTCGCAACTACGCTCCTATTTCCTGGACTACTCTAAGCTTGCACACGGGCGTGTAGACTCTGGTCTCGCACATTAGTCGCTGTTCGGCTGACTCAGTGGATGGGACCGGTGCAGTTTATCTAAGTTCATAAATACCCGTGCCATATGCGCGCTTCGCTTGATCCATACCGCACTTGCTATCGCTAATATTCACCAGTGTGTCACGTGACATTGGTCCACCGCAATCTATCCGCCTCCCTGGAGGAAGCAGGAAGCACTAGGGCTAGGATACTGCCAGGTTTCCCAAACCTAGACAGGGGGAATCGAGAGGCAAAGGTAGGATTTGAACCATGGACCTTCCGGTCAGTAAATTCGCGCTCTAACCACTTGAGCCATCCGCCTCCCTGACCTGCCATTGTTGTCGCAGCTACGGCGATCAGGGTCTCGTGACCACGGCTGACCTTGGTTACAAATTCATCCGGTTTTTCAGAAACTCATGCAGAGTGCGGGTTTAGCCCACTGGCACTGCAGGCGCGGTATCACGGTTGGCCACGCACAGAGGTGTGTGGGCACCTACAGCGTGCGTACGTGCGTCCAAGCTGCACACCCGGTGGGTGTTTCCGCGATTGAGCGCAATGATCGGATTTTAGCTGGGGCGAGTAGCAACCACTGCCCCTGGCTTTGCCTTGGATATTGGCAGTAACCCCCCCTCCCAGAACGTAAAATCGGACACGTCCGGTCTACTGTACCTGGGCGGGTAGCAACCACTGCCCCTTGCTTTGCCTTGGATATTGGCAGTAACCCCCCCCCCCCAGAACGTAAAATCGGACACGTCCGGTCTACTGTACCTGAGGTTCGCGTCACCAACCGTCCATTTGGTTGTGAAATCACAAAATCGCACGATTGAATCACGACGTGACATGTCAAACATACTAGCAGCTCAACCTCCTTAACTGATTCAACCTCCGATTTCTTATCCAAACACCCACGTGTCAGTTCAAAATGTCGAAGACCAAGTAGTGCTGTACGCGGAAGTGGACAGACACTATTATGTCAATAGGGACAAAGACATTGGATGGGCAGTGCTCAGGCAAGAATGTCTTTGTGTAAGTCAGTGAGCTTTAACTTCACTGATTATGGTTATAAAAACTGAGGGAAGCGACGCCCACTGATGATGTTTGGGGAAACCTTTGAACATCGGAGCTGTGAAATGGGTGATAGACCCAGATACGCACAATTGGAACGGATGCTTTAAATACGCCATCGGAGGCAATAACATCGATGTTGACACTGATATTTCAATGCTTCTTAGTTTTTTCAATTGTATTTAAAAGCTTAAAGTGGAAAGAAGAGAAAGTTGTGGGTGAAGAAGACACCTGGGGCCAGTCTATCGCATGCATTCTGAGGTGCGTGCACCCCCAAGCACTCAGTCGGGCATTTCTCGTAGTGTCCGCCCAAGTCAGGGATGATGTCACGGGTGACCACAGCCTGGAGAGCGCACCGCGCCAACAACACCGAATCTGAACTATGAAGCTGCATGTGTGCAGTAAATTCAGTTGTAGAATATCATAAACGAGAGATTCGGTTGAGTCTCTCGTGAAAACCAAACTGATTCTTAAATGAGTGTATTTCTCGAAAACAGTCCAATTTGGGTTCAAGTAGAACATAAGGTTGATGGAAACTCGAAGACTGCGCTTACCTGATGAGCCCCAAGAAGGGCGAAACCGGTAGTGGGCTGTCGAAGAGTTTTCAGCAACCCAGTGAGTAGTTTCCTTCATCAAAAAACATCGATGCTTGTTATAATTTCTTTCACACCCTTCTGCCAAGTCATACATTTTTCACCTCGTAGTTCGCGCTATTCCCAAGAAGGCAGGAAGACAAACATTCATCTCGATAGACGATGCTTCGGTATGTGCAGTGCATGGCCGGGCCAGCGTAGTTGTTGGAGCTTGATGTTCTGCATGATCAACAGCACATCCGCTAATAAGGTCCCTCCATAAATTCCAAAATAATCCATATTAAAAGTACACTGACTTATATGGATGACTTATATATGCTGACTTATATGAATGGCCAAATCTCCGTAAGAAACCTACTAGGTTTGCTCTAGAGTAAGATGTAAACGCTGTTGATGTAAGTCACATCATTAGACATTTTTAGAAATATCCAACGATTAACTCTAGGTGAATTCACGATCCAATCATGCAGTCTCGTGAACAATTACAGTGTTCCCGTGCCTTTGAATGCAACTTGTGTTAGTTAAGTGGAAATTGGGTAATCGTTTTTTTCTTCGTTGTGTATTAGGGAAGCCGAATGACTGCTGGGTCTTGACAGCACCCATACTTAACTCTGCTTTTAGTTCAACTAGTTGCTGACCTTGGGTGAACGACACTGTCACAGAAAAGGAATCGTATGGTTCGAATTAACCATAGACATCGATCGCATGGGGGCTAATCGATTTTCACAATTCAAACTTCCCTTTCGTTCTGCGGCCGCGAGTTGTTCTCACGCGCTTTGTGAAAACTTGTACGGACGCAATGTTGTGTTGGTTTCAACGTTTAATGGATCGAACTGCAATTACCTGAGCACCAGATCCTGAATGTAACTCCCCAGTGGCTTCAGCGAGGGGAATGACTTGGCGGCCCAGACGCTCGGGAGTTTGCCGACCAACATGGAGTTGAAAATATCCTCCAGGTCGGCCGACATGACGACCAAACCTTTGATCGCCTTCTTCAGGTCGAGTAAAGTCGACCGCACGACTGCAGTGAGTCGATTGAATCGAATCAACTCTTGGCGGAGGACCGTGTTCATAGACTCCTTGTAGACGACCGGATACCGTTGGATCACCTGAAGTACAATAAGACACAAATGAACACTACTTGGCTGAACGTCCTCCAACTCGGAGTCATGTCGATACTACTGTTCTTTCATTTGGTGAACATCAAATATCACCTTTAATTTTCTGAGAAGTTTGTTTTCTTCTTAACATTGGGGCGGTGGGTACCACGAAGGAATTAACTTCGGTAGCATTTCATATTTTATTGTGTCCGAATAGAAGAATTTACGAATATTTAACGCGTTGTGTTGGTCAGATCTCCATCAGACGTACTGGGTCAGACAGTTCTTTAGTTGTAAGGTGTGGTATGTGCTTGTTTAGTGTACTTTGTCTTTATTGCATATTCGCAGGGTATAATCTCGGCCTAACTGCTTTTGTCTGGGATGTGGGACCCTTGATTGTCCTCACTTCCCCCGTCCCTCTTCGCCCTTAAGCGGGTGAGCTTTTCCAGTACTATCATTGGTAGTACCATTGGTCTATCGGTGGAGGGCCATATTATTAGAAGTAACTGAATAATGTCACTGCTGTGTTTGCACGGTAGTAAACCTTTCGTTTTCGGCAATCAGTAGGAACTAATAGGTCAAGCATTCTTAAATGTACAAAAGTGCTCTTGAAAGGTGTCAATTCCTTTGCAATGAAGGAAAACTGGGACTAAGACACTTAATCTCCTTCTTTGAAGGGTTCGCTCTCCAGAAGCCACCTTTGGAAGGCATTACTCAATGAGGATTTCGGATAGCCATACAGCAAGTTCATCCGTTCATCACCGCGAACGGCACTACCAATGTGGCTGTTATTTCAGTGTATTACAGGCGGATGATATTAAAACTGAATACCAAGATAAAATCGGTTCGACCTCGGTACATTTTCAGGAATCTGCCGATTCCAGATGATCCAATCACAACATCATTGTCGGAAAATGCTCCGCACTGTTTGCCAAAAAAGTACATAGTTCACGTGTAAATCTGTAGCATGTTCGCATGGTGACCTGAAGTCTGGCTTCAGGACTGGCTTCAGAAAACTGGCTTCACCGTAGTTTTGCAAAGCGAAGCAACGTGTACCTTCAGATCACTTTCGTCGAACATGGCACTGATTGCACCAACCCCACTGATACTTTCTACTGTGTCCTCTGGTTGCACTTCTCAACAGCTGAAGTTGGCTTGGATTGAGATCGCATCTGGTAGACCTTACATCCTTACGATGATGTTACGCATCCCCCGTGAAAGACGGATANTTTGGTGAACATCAAATATCACCTTTAATTTTCTGAGAACTTTGTTTTCTTAACATTGGGGTAGTGGGTAGCACGAAGAAATCCACTTCGGTAGCATTTCATATTTTATTGTGTCCGAATATTTAGTGCTTTGTGTTGGTCAGATCTCCATCAGACGTACTGGGTTAGGCAGTTCTTCTTTAGATGTAAGGTGTGCTTTGTGCTTGTTTAGTGTACTTTTTCCTTATTGCATATTGGCAGGGTATAATCTCGGCCTAACTGCTTTTGTTTGGGGTGTGGGACCCCTGATTGTCCTCACTTCCCCCGTCCCTTTTCGCCCTTAAGTAGGTGAGCTTTTCCAGTAGCCTCAGTACCATGGTTCTATCGGTGGAGAGTCACATTATTAGAAGTAACTGAATAATGTCACTGCTGTGTTTGCACGGTAGTAAACCTTTCGTTTTCGGCAATCAGTAGGGGCTAATAGGTCAAGCATTCTTAAATGCACAAAATTGCTCTTGAAAGGTGTCAATTCCTTTGCAATAAAGGAAACTGGGACTAAGACACTTAACCTACTTCTTTGAAGGCTTCGCTCTCCAGAAGCAGCCTTTGGAAGGCATTGCTCAATGGGGATTTCGGATATCCACACATCGAATTCATCCATTCATCACCGCGAACAGCAGTACCAAGTTGCCTGTTATTTCAGTGTATTACAGGCAAATAATATTAAAACTGATACCAAGATGAAATCGGTTTGACCTCGATACATTTTCAGGAATCGACACATTAGCAGTTATGATCCAATCAGAACATCATTGTCGGAAAATGCTCCGCACTGTTCACCGAAAAAGTACATAGCTCACATGCAAATCTGTAACATGTTCGCATGGTGACGTGAAATCGTAGCTACTGGCTTCACCGTAGTCTTGCAAAGCGATGCAATGTGTACCTTCAGATCACTTTCGTCGAACATGGCGCTGATTATACCAACCCCACTGATATTTTCTGCTGTGTCCCCTGGTTGCACTTCTCAACAGCTTATGGGTGAAGCTGACTTGGATTGAGATCGCAGCTGGCAGACCTTACATCCTTACTATGCTGTTACGCATCCCCCGTGAAAGACGGATACACCTAACTCGTCAGGTGATCCATCCGTGCAAACTTCCAGCGTAAGCTTCCCTATCACGTTTCTGAGGTTAGTTCATTGACAATCTGTACATGCATTTGTTTGCAAACAGTGTAAACACGCCGTAAGCTGGGTTGGAACAATGCATAACGGTACCGAATGACTCCGTTTCAATTCATTCCTATTTAAAAGTGCACAACGACTGGTCGAACCAAGTTTTTTTCTAGGACACATTACCAGAACTCATTGTGAACCTTGTTAGAAAAAGCGATCCACCTCCACGAGCATCATCACAACAGTTGAGTGGTCTCGGTGAATCTTTCGGCGAAGCGTTGGTAAAGACGTAGGCATCTGATAGGCAGGTGACTCTGAGTGCTTTCTACCATCTTTTAGGCACTTTGTGGTACTGTGGCAGTGTGGGTATAACTTATGGGCTTCCTGATCTGTTAGCTACTGGTAAACTGAAACTAGCCATAATGTGTTAATCTCAGCGACAATGCATGCTTGCACACTAGTCTCATTCCCCCAAGTTTACACCAGGTTCTGTAGGATTCAGATCAAACCGTACAGGATAACCAGGACTTCAGATTACTTCGTTGTGCGAAACTGAGTTATCGGCAATGATCACGGGTGCTATGCTGAGGACGATCACATCGATGGTGAGTATGCACGGGGATTGTTACACTGGCTTATGATTGGTGTATCCCTTAGACTCCACTGTGAGGCACATCTGCGTTTTAAATCTAAAAAAAAACCTGTGTGATCACAGAACTTACCTCTTTGAGGTCAAAATCAGGTGGCAATTTGGAAAGGATATCAGCAGCAAGCTCAAGCACGGTCGTCTCAGAAGATTTACCCGATCCTCCTTGCTGTCTCGGGAGCGTCAGTAGCACGCCAGAAAACAGCTGAAATGCATACAGTAGGAATGGTCAATGTGTCAAAATAGTGGAGTAAGCTCGGATGCGTTGATCAGGTAACCATGGGATCGTTCGCCAAGCTTCCCAACTAGCCTACCAACATTTCGTCACCGGTCGACAAGATATTGTCAGTGCGTACTGGCGTGGGCGCTTCCACCTTACCTAAAAAGCTCGGTGAACACATCAAAGACCACCCCACTAACCACCAATACAGCATAAGTGCTCATGTAGCTGGAAGATAGGCAACCAGACAGACACGTTTTATATACGATGGCCTAAATAGAAATAAATTTTCGGCCGAAGCCAGTCAATGACTTCTCTTGGAACAGGTGCCTTCGACTTGACATTGGAAAGTAAAACAATATGGTACAAATAAAAAACTTATTAGCCCAATCCATGAATGCGTGACCAGCAACCAGTTGGCTGAATAGGCGGAGTGTTCAAAGCCTTTGATTCGCAATTTTCTCGACTGAGTTTGGGCGAGAAATTCGAAAGGTCGAGAGTTCTAATTTGGTGTCCACACGTGACTGGTATGCATAAGCTGACTTTCGCCATCAGTGTGAAAGTGCTCTTAAAATCGAGAAGGAATGATACGGAAGTTCAACTTAAACATGAGGCGGCTTGTGTGCAGCACATTCAGTTGTAGAATGTCATAGACGAGAGATTCAATTAAGTCTCTCGTGAAAACCAAATTGATTTTTAAATGAGTGTATTTCTCACACTGTCCTTGTTTTGTAAGCCATCTACCAAGTTACAGCTTGTTTATCACTCGATTTGCGTCGATTATGAACTCAGTATCTAACAAAACCCTCTGCTCGCCTAAGGACTCGCTAAGTGTAGTCTGTGGTCAGGTCGCCCAAGCTTTAAATGAACTCCTCAAACAGCTTATCTTCTAGATCACACACAAAATCATATGTCGCCACCTGTCCTGTGCCCGACAGCTGGCGTTGGTCAGTCTGAAAGCTTACCTGGAATGTTTCTTGATTGTCCTTAGTGATATCGGCATTGTCATGTAGGCCGTAAACTTCAGGAAGTGGATTGATTGGTAGTTGTCGAATATATTCAACAAACTCGCTGTGTGGGCCATCTGGGGGACAGTAGTAGATGCCCGAGCTTGATAATCTGTAGAAAGAAGATTTACCACAGAGGGACTATTTTGTAACCTGTACCAACCGTGTCAACTGTTTTTCAACTGACACGAGCGTGTCATAAGGTTGAACTTACTGACCGGAACCCGATCTCGGAATACCGATGGATCCTGTCTATGCTTGGGCAGTTTGACAGTAGCTCAGCTCTCATGATTACTTCGGTGGCATGGCAGCGAGGCACCAAAAGGGTGCTACATTAGTAATACTACTATTTTTGAGGTGGTAAAGTCTCTCATTTATAAGTGCAGCGAGACCAAGGTTCAGTTCTTCCAGAATAGTCGTTCCAGGACATGTGGATGACTGGTCAGTCTGTAGTAATTCCACAAGTCTGACGACTTTTGCTACTCTCTTGCATTCAGAAGTTTTCACTTTTCACGCTATCGCAAGCGAAGCTGATGAAAACACAATTTACTTACATGTCATTCTTCTGAAATTGGTATACTATGCATTCATCCAGTAAAAGTACAAAATGCACTGTCGTTCAAGAAGCGAACAGCTCACTGAGCCACCCTAAGCAGTACATGCGAGCGGACTGACCTGAGTGAAGAATGCTGAACTGTACTCAAAGTATTCGTGTAGCATCAGTGTTAATACGTCATACAACAGCCACACATCCACAAAACGTCTAGTTGAAAGGTCTCAAGGCGAAAACAATACTTGAACAAAAATGTTCTTTGATAATGAGGTGCCTACATCTTCAAGTAATCCCTGTCACGAGCGATGCTTTATCAATAACATTGGTAAAGTTTGTTCTTAGGCTTTCTACAATTCACCAAATGTTCAAGTTCACCAAATGTCCAAAGATACATCTCATGAGATGATCCCAGAGGTTCGAGGAGTTGGCCAATCATGGCTACTTTTTAATATTATGCTATAAAATGTCCACTTCAGACCAATTTTTTAACCACTGAATCTGCATCAAAGAACGCTCGATTAAAAATTGACTTATGCAAGTGGTGCCTATTGTGGAGTCTTTTGGATAGCCGAAAGTGTCCAGACATCATTGATTGGTTCGACAGACGGGACGGCAACGAAAACAACTAGGGCGGTGGTGAGAAAGGTCAGCGGCGAATACAGAGTGGGGGAGACACCGACATGACTCGAAGAGCCAATCAACATGTGTGACCACGTGAGATGGATCCCCTGATTGGAGGATGAGTGACCCTATGTCGCGTCTAAGTGTGAGTAAATCGCACTGCTGATCATCCGTGGTCCAACGATTAACTGTTCAAACCATAAGCCGGGAGGTTGCGGGCTCGAGACTTCCTGGAGTTTCGTGAGACTGCTGATGATTCCCAATAATGATCAAACAGCTATAAAATGTTTCTCAATTTTTTTCAGAATAGATGATATCTTCACCGGCGTCAATATAGTTCAGGAATGGCCGGATGAGGAAGCAATAGCTCTGAACATATTGGCGAAAGTTTACGATCAAGACCCCCGTAGAAGAGATTTCACACACGATATGATTCTTCTGGTTGATTATGTGGGGTTTCTCTCTCAAGGTTAAGGAGTGTACTTTGTACGGGGGATGTTGGAATAGGTGCTGGCGGTAACATCGTCCTCCTGCAAGAGGGTGTCACAATCAGCCACTAGGTAATAGCCTAGGCTACTGCCTAAATACTTTCTGAAGAAGACCACCGCAAACGGAAGTATCAGATGAATTCAGTTCAATCTCCCCAGTCAAAACCAAATTAGCGAATACTTGGTGAAGTCACGCCACTCTTCCAGAAGGCCTAGAAACTTTCGTTAACAACGCAGAACGATTCATCCAGGGCAGATTTTTGACCCATGGTGTAAGCTATAGGATCAATTAAGGGCAGGAGATAGACCTGTAGCTACCCAGTCACCCACACACTTGGCTGTTCAGCTCACACTCGCTCACTGGATCACGAGACTTGTTTTTTTTTATACTCGCAAACCACGTCACATCAAGGTGACTCATCGGACATCGATTGTCTTTACCGTCTAGTGAGCGTAGTAACCACTCATGTGCTGGCGCGCCCACGCATACACAATCGGACCTACATATACGGAAATAGAACATAGTCAACACGCAGACTCGCGCGCGCGCAGGGAGCAAGGAGTCAGCCAAACCCTGCAAGTCCACGGACAATTATGGAACACGTGTAGCAGCCAAACTGCGGAGAAAACACGCTACCGCCGACCGGACGTTCACCAAGGGACTCTCACAGACGATAAGTTCCCTTTTTTTGACTCGCTCCCATTTCGCACTGTATTAATTCTTATACGTGTCGCAACCATACTAAAAACNGCATACACCTTCTGATTTGTATTATGGCTATTACCACCTGTGCACTAATAGACCTAAGATCATTGACTACTGGCCTGCACATCCAGTTAGAACTTACTTATATCTGTCTTCCTCAACAATTCGCCGGTTGTAGAATATGCCAAGAAGAGAAATAAGTAATCGACGGTCCTTGTCGTCTGTCACGCGACCACCGTAGTTACACTCTCCAGTAAGATACGTCAGCGCTTCCAGAGGTAGTTCATCATACTGATCAAGGAACATCTGTAGAATAAAGAAGGCGGCGGTAGGTGCGTTAAGAACACGGACGATTCTGATGTACCTTCACTCTAAATTGACGTCTTTGAACCGGAAAACTGCTTTTCAGGGGTCAGGACAGAATTTTACCACTTGAAACCGACTGACTCTAAGAAGCAGCTGAGCGAAACGCTACAGCAGTTTTACCTAGTCACTCAACGTTACCTGCATTTGTCGCACACTGATACGCAAATCAGATTCGTTGAACTCGTACGGCACATTCCATCCCAGTGGACCGAATTTGCGTCGTTCTTGAACCAGGGCATGAAAGAAGCACAGACCGAACAGCATTTTGTGCCAGATTGGGCCCTAAGAAGTAAAGAAAAGTTGGTAAAAATTGCGCAGAGATATGATCGGTTGATTAGTGCTCGAGATGTGGTCCCCGAGGTAACACTTGGCTATTGAAAACAGGTCAGGTATGGGACGATCATCAGCCCCAAAACGACTGAAAACTGAACGACTCCTAGCTACAGTCGTACCTCCATAGAATACGGTTTCTTTACAATGCAACACTACAGGAACACGGTCAGTTACGGACTTCAGTTACAGACTTCCTGCTAAAATAAAGCAACCTCTGAGCTCCAGTATGTGAAACTCCAATCTTATTAAAGCGACTGGCCTCACCGACCTGTTTCACAGCCATCCTGAATGATTCGTTTCTTTTATGACGAACATGGTTCAAACATGTCCATATTACTAGAAATTATCAAGGTCAAGGAATGCGCTACCGTTTCTCGATGAGTATACAGTAGTGTATGGTAAAACGTGAAATTCACAGACACACCGGCCTAGATCCAACTGGATATGATGACCATAAAGATATAAAGTCAAACTAGTGAAAAGGAGTGTTCCGGACATCAGGTTTACCAGTAACCTGAATTCGAACTGAATAAGATCGGGCAAACCAATCACTTCGCTCTGGCGCGAATGTGTTCGCTCTTTCAGACGCGAAAATTCAGCTGGTAACACCCTCGCCTCATATGTAAGACATCCGGGAGTTTGAACATCGGCTCAAACAAGAGCAAAACTCAAGTCCAGTGTTTCCTCTCCCTGGAGAAAGAATTGCACCAGGGCAGGGTGAAGACTGTTTAGAAGAGAGTAATATGAACGTGAACCCAACAAAATTGATTTTTGCCCCTTGTCATGTCCTGGATGGCGATAACTTTTTGAAGGGAAGTACGATCAAGTCAGACGTGGATTGGTTCCAATTGAACATAGCAATATCCATTGCCAGAACTGTAACTGAATAGTATACTGTGTACGCTTGGCTTTTGATTTCTTTCTAGGACAGTAACCGTGTGGAATATCTGTAAAGCCGACTCATTCTATCATCGGAGCCAGTTGCCAAAAATATCAATGCTACCCACAAATGCAGAGGCCGATCTCGAATTTATCACTGTATCTTTCACGGGATTTCCGGTACGCCATGGGACATAACTCGGGTTGGTGCTCGCAACTGCCCATGCAGTTTTGAAACCAGTTGCAGCAATATCATTTACAAAGGATCTCGTTTCTAGGACTTTAGTATCTTCAGCGGCTTTATGCATCACGTGTCACTGCTTTAGTCATGTGTTTCGTATGCGGAGTTATCATCTGCCCAAAACATTTTCTTTGTCCGGTTCAGACTGCCACCTGTGAATAGGTGGTCTGGAGATCGCGATATGAAAAGGACTGGGTAGTGTTGGTGAGATGTGTCTTCCAGGATAGGATCCACCTGATCCTTCCTGTGCTTGGTTGGAATTGTTGCAAGATGTAGCTGCCAGGGTATGTCAGTGAAACTCCTGTTAATTTCCATCCGGACTGTCTCAGTGGATGTCCCGAAGTTTAGGTATGTCAGAGTACCTACAGAAAGCTAGAACTAGGCAGCCCCTATCCACTTTTCATGATAAATTTTTCCAATAAAATAAGGTTTTATGACAATAAAGCATCGGTTTCCAACACTTTGTTGTGTCGCCAATAACTATCAAACGTACTTCAATGGGGATTCTTTTAAAAGAAAACACTACTCACAAGGTTACTTCAAACTTTTCGACAGCTCACGACCAGTTTTACTCTTCTTGAGGCTCATCAGGTAGACGCGGTCCCCCAGTTCTAAATGAACACAACCGTACGCAACTATTATCCTCAGAAGAGTGCAACCTGTGATGGGCTGTCAAGCAACCTTAGGAGTAGTGTTCCGTCAATAAAATGTATTGTGGTGTCCAGAATATCGAACCAACTGAAGCATTAGGCGACCCATATATAGCACATTCAGATGAAGAATATCATAAACAAGAGAATCAGCTGGGATTTAGCTGAATCGTTAAAACTAATTTACAGTGCATATGAATGTATTATATTGAGTGTTCAGTTGAAAGTCGACGTCAACAGTTTTCGGAGTCGCAGATTTTCTTGGTTAGACCTGGAAAGCTTGTTCTCCGGCTGCGCAGTGATATAACTCTTATAGTAAAAAAGGTCACCGGTTTTGGGAGCCGTGAATAGTACTTCGAGTGAGCCAGTCACTCCGTCACACAAACCGGAGTCTTACCCAAACAACAATCGTGGACGACCATCCTCAATCAACCGCTACTCAATTAAACACCCATTTAGCATACTTAGTAGTCTCCCCGTACCTTACCCTGTACAATATAAACAAATCTTCAACACTCAAGAATTTTTGTTCGGAAGAAAAAGGAGACGAGAACTTTCCATGCTATTATATGATATGGTCTTCTGATAGGATGTCATATCCACTGTTGTTCCATTTTTCGTCTGCACACAGTCAGACAACAGTTATTTGGAAGATGGCTATCGGATCACTTTGTTTGTATTTAAATGGGTACTTTCTGGACGATTCCTGGACAAAAGCTGCTCCATTATGACTGACATTGGGTCAGCTCTTTCTTACGATCCTTCCGCTCATGCGAGTCAGTCACAATGAAGTAATGGGAATAAGTTCGGGGTCAAAACTTCATCATACCTTAGTGATCGCAACTTTATTGCTTGACATGAACTCACCTTGGAGCAACCGTCGAAGAAGGATGGGTCAGAAATAGGATCGTTCAGATAGGATCGTAAGAGGTTAGATCGCAGACCCTTTGGAGGTTCGTTCGTCATTTTGACGCCTGAAAAATCCAATGAGATGTTAGAGTTGGGTCTAAACGGGAAGATCTACAAATCGGAGGCTACGTCTTCTAGGATTGGGCTAACATCGGATAGTTCGTTGGAAGACACCAGGTTATCACCATTTTCGTCCTATTATTTCAGAATGGCAGTCAGTTAGGCCCACTCCGTTTCGTATGACTAGATTAGGGGATCGTCTTCGACGGAATCTGTCGGTTGGCCCGCACCAGTCATTGCCCTGTGACCTTGCACAATATGCACCACTGATCGCTTTAGTCGTGATTCATGCTGTGCCACGTTTTGTGATTCGGTACAGATCTCGTCCGGTTCTGGTACAATAGCATACACGAAACCTAATACGCACCAAGATAAGCTGCTACTGTCACAATTCGCATGAACTCGGTACTCACCAGCTGAATTTAAGTGCTAGCAACCCGAGTGAGATAATCCATCAATTTTAGTCTAAATAATCTAAATCTGGCTAGGCTAGCTAAGTCTTGTGGACCAGTTTTTTTTTCAGTTTGAAAAAGTCAACTGAATGGAGGACTGTTGATGGTGCCATTATATTGTTTTTTAATTCAACCTGAACAAAATGGTGGTGTCAGATATGGGATAAATCACGTGATCCTGGTTACACCCTACCTACTTCGATTGCAAAACCTATCCGCTTAGGCAGAATGGACCGGGCACGGTCTCCAGGTTCTCGTAAAAGCAGTTCACTTAGTCTCTCGTTGCTGACCGCCAAGAAGATGCATGGTTGGATCACATGCTCATACCGACAAGCCTCACGAATACCAGAAGTGTACTTTACCACCAAATAGGCACTATATGCTAGCATCCGTCTGTATCATTCATCCAACTCGACCGCACTGCGTGGATGAATTCACTAAAACGCCATTTACACATTCAGTCTAATAAACGAGAGGTTAGGTTGTACCACCAACCGACGTTGTGCGGATTACTAGACAAAGCTGATATGACGCGCCAGCTTGGGTCCAATGTCATCCTCAATAATCCAGATGACAGAAGCTGGTGGTCCCTATTCGAGCTCACCAGTCTGATTCAACTGTGATTGTCTCAAACACAGATATACGAGAGCATGTTATGATAGGAGCAATCGATCGGAATTTGTCAAATGTCTCTGTTTTCAACAGCAGTCAATTGAACGTTGGTTATCCTGATTCCCAGTAACTGAAAGACCACTATTGCCAATATGATCATAACCACGGTTAACAGGAACATCAGGGTCTCAGTTGTTCAGCTGTAATATCATTTCAGTGCATATAGAGTGCCACTCGAAGGGAGAATGAGTTTGCCAGGAGGCCAGGTCGAGATGCCGGACTTGGGTTCGAACCACCGACCTTCCGATCAGTAAGTTTGCGCTTCAACTTCTGAGCTCTCTCGAGCTTAGTGTCTCGTAAAGCCCTGTTTTGAAAATAAAAGCGAATGTGGCGAAATAGACATGGCCTAGTGGGAGGGTTAAGTAGAAGAGCATGCAAAAATGCAATTCACGTGAACCATTGTAAGAATGTCCTCTGATTTAATTCTATATACCGGGAGTGAATTAAATAAAAGTTTACTCATAGGCCTACTTGCGGCATAGTTCCATACACATACCGTTTTCAAGTATGGTCACCGGAAAATCATTTGACGGATAACTGGTCAACCACAGACGAAAATTAGTGTGTACTTTACTAGGCACGATGATCTCTTCGCATATTTTCTCCAGCGCTGGCATCCAGCTTACTGCAAGATGACAATTCTGCAACACAATCCATGTCCCATCTTCAGTGCCTTGACTGATCATCTTTGCGGCGATTGGTCCTTGCCCTTGTCCTAAAGATATTGTCTGAATTCTATCTCCCGTATAACCCATATCTGCACCGAACCGGATTAGGGCATTCATCGGATCAGCTCCCGGGGATAAGATAAAAATTAGCGGGGAACAACAGTTGGAATCGGCAAAAGATCCAGCCAGATCAAACGTTGGTGGTTCAATGAAGGTGGCACCCATGTTCTCCGCAATGAAATCCTGGAAGCGAGAAGGGCACAAATTTGGGCTAGAAGTAACTACTTGATCACAACTTCATTCAGGGCCAATCTTTACCGGAATAAACGACGGGTTTTTTGGTACGGTGGAAATTACTACCTACAGCCTTTGACTAGCTTACTTTCAGCAAAACCATGTAGTAGCGTTTCCAGGACTTCTATATGGAAGAGGGCTGTTTTATTTACTAGAAAATGCGTTGCGCCAACCAGTAATGGGTGTCGTTAACTAGTTGGATAAACAGTCCTACTGTTCACTAAGGGTCTAGTCTGTTCATTACGCACAAAATCAAAGTGCAGAAGGGGAAAGCCCATGCAAAATCCTTAAACACAAAACAAGACACATGGAAAAATAAACGTCATGGTGCATTGGGAACGATGAAAGCAGGTAGATCGATAGTGGGCTGGATGGGATGAAAGTGGCTGCAATCGAAGGGGTCGATGTTCATTGGTGTGATGACTTGCCAATGATCATCACATGACCGGTGAGTGATATTGCTTTCAAAACGTCAGGACAAAGAATGAATGAGAGTGATGTCATCTGCGAAGGCGTGAATGTGGAAGGAAATATAGGGCATCAACTGATGTAAGAAAGGAAGAGAGCACAGGTATTAAGGACTTCTTCCGCTGATGTTAAGAGTTTGAAGAATGAGGCCACCAAGGCGGGCCTGACGAAAAAACTGGCCTCACAGAAACCGTCCAATCCATTTGACCAGGTTGGGAGTCACATAGGCCAACCTGAACTCGTACTGAAGATTATTGGGCAGTCACGAGTTGCTACGTGGTCGGTGCGTACTACAGATGAGAGCTGCACCCACCAGCGCTTGTACTATCTTGATGAGTTCTCATGGTTTAGCTATGACTCCGACCCACCTTGGCACTTCTCCAAGGCTCAGAACTGAGGGAATAACTGGCTGACTGAGAGAAGGCTGTTAGTTTTTTGTCCAGGTATTAAGTTTCACGTTGTTATGTCTGTTGATTCGCCAATCTGTTGTATCTGACTGCTGACCCGCTCCAGTGCCCAGTGCCGGAAAAAGGACTCACAGAAGGGAACACAACAGCCATATTCCGAACAAGCGAGTGGGAGAGCGTGATTGCGTACGAGTGAAAAAGTATAGCTGTCTCAAGTTATTTATCGGGGGAACACTGTCTGAACTTGATCCAATGCTGACGCACGCGGTCTGGCTTTGGTACGAGGTTGTGACGTGCTGCCTATTACGGGGGCGTTGTCTGACCTTGATCAACGCTGACTCGCGCTGTCTGGGTTATATACAAGAATGTGACGCGCTGCCTATTGAGGGAGTGTTGTCTGCCTGGTCAGCATCTAGAGGAGCTGGGGATCTCAGTAGATTTCGGGCATTCAGTGGTTGCTTCTGCTGATGCACGTAAAAGTAAAGTTGGCAAGTGGCCAGAAATAAGTTTAGCTGGACTCATCAGTTTAAGTTAGGAAATGTGCAACTCTAAGTCAGGGATCGAACGACCTGAATCGTAGACGATTCTTGCTCCAAACGATCACCCACCCGCTTTAATTTTGTGAGCAGCAACCTCAAAAAAAGTTCCTTACAAATCATCTGTCGCTCTTGCCCATTGAAACTAGTTAGAGTGCGAAAGACACGCACAAAGACAAGGCCGATGTTCGTGCAACCCCTATTAATCTTGCAATCTTTACTTGAGCCTTTGTTCTTATTTCTCTCATAAAGTGAAAACAGGTCCAGGTGTTATAACTTATCTCTGCACATTTAGCTGACGCTCTAAAAGAGCAGACCGCTACAGGATATAGGTTACAATCGGATAGTCTTACTTTTGCGCTGCTTCGGATCCGATAGCGTTAGACAAGCTTGTTCAGAGGCTGAAGACAGATTCCTCACATTTTCGGTTGTTCAGAAAGTTACGTAAAACTCATTGGAACAAATCAACCTCAACCAACAACGAGTGTTGATTATTCTTCAAAGTTAGATAAATGCATTTGAAGTTTTCTGGAGAGAACTTAAAATGACACCCAAGTTTATTAGTGAAACATCATGCCACGGTTCAACCGCCTGGAATGGCAGTCGCCAAGATTGTTGGATTCATACTACTTGTAGGCGCGCGCAGTCCCAAGGGCAACTTCCCCTTCCACCGATGTCGCAGGGGCAGTCGGTAGTTCGATATCGCTTCCTGACTGCGGAGGATAGGCCACCGATAGCTATCGATCGTCCGATTGACGTTGGCTTCGCCTCCTATGCTTGTCCGTGCACGCTCATCTATTGATAAATATTCCACTCGACCCTGAGACAATCGAGTGCACCGTGAGCTTTTGTTCGCGTGACTCAGCTTCAACCCCCGCTCTGGGGAAAGTAGAGTTGAGCTGGCCTGCCGCACACCTACAAAACTGAGAGGCAACGTCTGTCATCACTTGTGCTGTGGTGCGTGCGCCAAGCGCAGGTGCGTATGTGCACATTCGTGTAGAATGCGACCTGTGGATTGGATGATCGAAAAACTGGGCGAAACACTCGGGTTTGGGGGTGCGACAAAGTCACAGCTGGCTAAGTCCTGACGAATTACCATCCTCCTGAACCCCACTCGAGAGAGTGGGGGCGTTAGCTGACAAGCCCAACAAATTGAGGAACAAACCTAATTCTACCATGAAGAACACTCATGAGATCTCAAGCTGACCTTGTGAATGAGAGATAAAAAATTGACACTCTCCTGTTGGACAGCAAGTACGATGAGAAAGGACGTGGATTTAGCGTCGGAGAGAAGTGCAGTGACAATGATTGGATGAACCCAAGGGAACAGAACGAACGCCATAAGGATGTATCTTCATTAGTAAAACTAGAGAAGGTGCCATCATCTCGGTCAGTGACTCACGTAGGAAGGGGAACAAGTTGGGGGAAAGAATGCGGCCTCACGACCTGCGAGCTCTGCACAGGAGTCAACAGGCAAGAGAATTATGCACACTGAAATCACCTGGTACTAAAAGTTTTGCTGAGAGCTCGAACCGAAGAATGTACAATAGACACTGAACATCTAGAATAGGGAGGACATGTCAAGGTCGTCCGGTGATCAATGAACATGATGAGACAAACTGAACATGAGTCATAAGAATAGGAAATAGGATTTACATATGTCATTGGTAGAGGAAGGAGTGATTGCAGCGAAAATGGTACGAAAAGTGGGTTGCAATCAGGAACAGTATGGTGGAGGTGAAGTAGGTTGAAATTTAATGAAACGAGCCAGCGTTACAGTCACCACGGACTCAACATTGAGAAATTGAGGAGACATGAGACAACATAGAGGCAAGTCAACGTGGTTCGATATCCACGTTAGTTTGACCGGCATTCCAACCCACGGGCTTGGAGGGGCGAGCAACAAGTTGTCACTATGAACTGACCGGTGAAAATTCAGCGTGAACCGTTTACGTCTAAGTCAGCAGTAGACAAAGGCACAGTGCGCCTTTCAGATCAAGTCAGCGGCTGTGTAGGACTCGCCAGTGGATGCAATGTCTTTCAATCATCCGCTTATAACTGACGACTGAGGGTCAAGTGAACCTTTCGAATAAAAAGGAAAGTCCCCAGGTAGTGGAGGTTTCCGAATCCGAGCACGCTTGCCTGTTACAACCATGACACAGATGAAGATTTTCTCCCAGATGGGTTAGGAAACAACGCACAAGTTCGTCGCAGTATAATAATTCACTGCTTTGTAAAATATGTGCGGTTAATTGTGCACCAGTTCCAAGTGTATTTGGGGTGGACAAGGACGTACCTGAACTCCCGGAACAACCTTATCTGGCCTGATACACCGTAAAACGGTCAGTTTCTCCAGTCCCGCAAGCCGACCGAATTTGCCTGGGGCAACAAACTTGTGGGGCTCCATACTGTCGTACATTTCTCTCCACTCTTCAGGTCTGTTTTGGACATCTTAAAAGAAAAAAATGAGGCAAGTCTAAGAGGCTCTGGAGACAACAGCACCAGCGCTTAGAAGTACATATGGTAATCTGAAGGGTAAACTATTTATATAAACCGGTGGCGTACGAGCGTTAGTTTCTACAGGGAAAATGGATAAGGTGATATGATCGAAAACGGCCCAGGACAAAGAGTAAGTCTAGCTGAGGAGCCTCAGGAGAGTGTAACTGGTATTGGGATGTTATCAATCCCAAAACTAGTGTTATATCAACTGAAAAACTTCAACGTTGCGAACACCGTTCCACTTGAATAGTTGCACAGCTTTGTGTAGCACATCTGATTGAAGAATATAAACGTACTTTTTTGGTTTCACCGAGTTTCATGTTTCGTATTTTTTTCACAGTAAGCTGGTTGATTGGATTTCCGTCTCTCAATCCTGCTCTGCGTTAACTCAAGAGTGAAGTTCCTGATCAAGGGCTTGCTTTCAAATGGCATGGCGTAGACAAGCCCTCTGGTAGACCTGAGATCTTAAGCTGTGGCTTGAATGACACGACCTGTGGGTTCCACAACGGGCCCACCTCCCGGACCAGACTCTACGGGAGTTACGTAGAGCCGGAAACATCGAGGACAGTCTTTTAGTCCACGAGGTAACTGTTATTGTAGGTGGCTGCGTTGATGCAAAGTTCCAGTGTTTGCGTATGGTTACAAATTCACCCAGTTCAATTTCCAGTGCCTCGCTTTTCAAGTGATTTATTTTTTTCGGTGAATTCGCAAAGCAAGATAGCAGCCAATCCTTAATTTAGCGATCTTTAGCCACTGAGCCGATTCGCTGTACTGTGCATATATGCACTTCACACAATCCTCTCGCGAAATATCATAAAACAAAAACGAAAAAATGACCTGTTCTATCTGAAGCGCGTTTCGATTATGGTCTAGTACAGGTTTACTAAACCCACCTTTCATGAAGCCGTCAAAACCGGGTAGCTCTGAAGCGCGAACAACTTCAGCCCAGCATTTGTCCGATAACCAACTGGGTGCTGGGTTGGGATGCGGGTTATCCAGCGCAACGCCTCCGGTGAGTAGGAACCGCCAAACGGTCTCATCCACCTTGTTCCTGAAATAAATAACAGTTGCACCTAAACGACTTCCATGAAAATAGTGGTCTGGTTGGGACCGCGTTCAAGAAAGGGGAACGACCCAACTGAATAAAGCGTTAGAAAATATAACGGGCGGATTTCTGTCGTGGTTAAGTCCTTGGGCGGAACGTTTGACACAATTATGGAGGCAGAGAGGAATCCGTTCACTATTATTCTTATCTTCATTGACAGAATAACCTGTGTAAGCCCTACAATGCAGGATACAAGAACAACTCAAGAGAAAGGCCACTCAAAGCTTTCCCCTTCCCAACAGAAATACCGGAAATCCTTACACTGGTAAACACTCACTGAGATTATCTGTTTAACAATTGACGGCACAAACGTCAGTGACTTCGGTCGGCTTTTACATCTCGCAGTGTCCCTAACCAAAAACACAGGGAGGATAATGGGACTCACTATCACCCAGACTGTCCATACTTTGGTTTGCCGCACTCTTAATCTGACGGGGAAAACAGTGTACCCTCCTGAAGACGACAAGTCGGCGTGCGTAGCACATAACCAAACCACTCAAATGATTAAACCAATGCATAAGTTGGCACACAATATCCCTAGTGAATTCACAGGGGTTATTTCAGTCCTCAACGCTGAATACAATAACCTAGCTGGAACTGAGGGGCGTTCGATGTAACCCGATATAAGTGGATCGGTCTGCCAGCCTGTCAAACTACTCGATTCAAGTCTTCCAGGCTCCTGAAAAGGGCTGTATTACTTTTGGATTGATCCCAATAGCAAATTATTCAGTTGGCTGAATTTGTCACATTGCATTGAGGTTTACCCGGTCAAGCCAAGAAAAGCTACATTCACACGAAAGTGAGTTTTAGTAGAAAAAGTACAACCAAAACTGCAGCAGCCGCTTCGGTTTGACAGTTTTCGCGTGTGCAAGTCGGTTCGTCAATCCATCACCGGTCTGGAGTGATTTTAGTGGCTGATTGGATGCGTGTCTGATTGGTTTGCGTGCGTGCGTGCGTGCGTACCTAACCTTCGATACATAAGAGAACTGGATGACTGGACATGTGACTCAGTTGTTTGCCTGCCCTTTGCAAGGCGGACCTATCTGGCCGCGTGCACCCAGTACGCCCGTGACCTTGTCTACGTATTACCTGACTTACTTTGAACTTACAACGAAGCAAAGTAGAGTGCATTAACCATTCACAGATCTAGAAACTAGCTAGATTGGGCAAAGTAAGGTAAGACAGAATTGCCGAAGGCTTCAGTATGAGCAAGCCTTAGTTTAGGTATGGAGCAGCTGTTGAAACGGCCTTGATTGAAACGAATGGGGAATTGTGTGCGGTATCTACTAGGAATCATCAGAAAACTGTCATGACAACAGTTGCTGTGTTTGCTGGCCACGGGTTTGACGAGGAAATCTCTCGATATTTTACTGCGTTTTGTGGCATGCCGAACAAAGAGGCGATGGTTGCTCTCACTTAATCTGGGCAATATAATCAGGGGACATTTAGCCTGTGAGGACGCGGGAGAAACTGAAAGACGGATGTGTGGTGCGTGCAACATCCTGAATTTGAGTGCAAAACGCCACCTGCCAGTGAAAGTAAACTTAACATGGGTGAAACACCTTGGGCTATTTGAAATGGCTATTCTGGAGCGATTCACCTCACATCTTGCAATGCGAATATCAGTAACTGTGTTAAACACAGTTGAGCACAACACTGCATTGGTAAATCAGCGATCCGAAAGCTACAGTCCAAGTTCTGAATGATGCAAGCAGGAAGCAAAGCTACTCATGTGGCTCACGAGACTAACAGAATACAACAGAATAGTATATATTTGAAGTGAGCACAATACAAACCAATCATATCACACCAAAAGGCTGGACCACGTAATCAGAATTTGCGCAAGAAAGCCTTGTAAAACATACTTTTCTTGCATCCTTTCAAATCCCTCACTATGGGCATTTTACAGCCTCTTGACTTAATAGATGCTGTCCAATCCCGTGGCAAGATGATTTGGCGTATTCCCATGGTACAATTGCCTGATCAGTAGGATGTACTGGGTTAACAGACCTTTCCAGCGAAGATATGCACAGATATCATGTCAGACAATTCAGATGAATGCTGCCAAAACCCTCGGTATCGAACCAGAAGCAACCTCAGCAATATAACCAAGGCGTTCGACACAAGTAGCTCAGGTAATGCCGGACAGGACGAATGCAAGTCCGCACCAGGACGACCCATTCCTGCCACGTTTACCCAGGCCCCACTGTCCGGTATCTGTGCAGCGCCGGTCATGCCATCCATTCCACTGGCATGGGGATCCCGTCGCACCAGCCGCGTGGATGCTGGCAACCATGTTATTCGGCCTTGATGTTGACCTTGTCCGTCTGGCTCATCTCAACGTTCCGATTGGCTGTTTGTTGCCCACATGCCCTTCTAACGGTAAGTGAAAAAGATGGCTCGTTAATTCACTCGCAAAAACGTCGACTGGAGAGATGGGCCGAACACTTCGAAGAGCAGTTCAGCTGGCCTCCTGCAACACAGCCGGTGGAGATAGTGCATACGGGCGAATGGAATGTAAACCTTGATCGCCCTTCGGAAGAAGAAATAAGGTACGAAGTAGCCGCACTGAAACGTGAGAAGGCACCAGGACCGGACGGTCTGTATCCAGCCCTCTTCAAAGAAGGCGGAAATTCCCTGGTGACCCACTTGACAAAGCTTATTGGTACTATGTGGGACGAAGAGCAAGTGCCTGCAGAATGGGGCATGTCGACAGTTATCCCTATCTTCAAAAAGGGTACACGGACGCTATGCGAAAACCACCGTGGCATCAGCCTGTTAGCTGTGGCATCGAAGGTGCTCTCTGGCCTTATCCTTCGAAGGTTGACTGAACACAGGGAGAGGCAGATCCGTGAAAACCAAGCTGGGTTCCGTCCTGCAAGAGGTTGCATCGACCATATCTTCACCCTCCGACAGATTCTGGAACAGCGACACTGCTTCCAGCAACCAACAATGGTTGTTTTTCTTGATCTGAAAGCTGCCTTTGACTCTGTGGACCGCCAAGCACTATGGCATTGTCTGTGGAGCAAAGGTGTCCCTCATAAATTCTTGAACCTCATTAAGGCGCTGTACGCCAACTCCCGCGGCCGTGTAAAGGTCTACGGGAAGCTTTCTCCTGAGTTCATCACATCCAGTGGTGTCCGACAGGGCTGTCCTCTTTCCCCTTTCCTCTTCAACTTCGTCATCGATACGATCATGGAAGACGCACTACCAGCCTCTAATGCCTGTGGGGTCGAAGTGCTCCCTGGGCCTCCGCTCACAGACATCGAGTACGCAAACGACATAGCTCTTCTGGGATCTGATCCCGTGGTAATGCAAACAAGGCAAGCTCGGTCAATAGCAGCTTCATGTAGCTACGGCAGCTTTTCAGTGAGCAAGGTTTCGGCAGGCATTGGGAAGAACTCGAGTTGTGAGAGACCGGACTACGCAGATTTGTTGTTAACAACTAGGAAGTCAAGTAGGGGGCAGGAATGTTACGGTACGCTCAAGTACTCGCGGAAATTTCCCTTCATCTTACGTTGGACGTCAATAATTTACGCCAAAAGTCCCTACAAGCTCTAAATTGATGGATGATAAGGAAAGCAGGAAAAAACCGTTCAGCTGTAACACCCAAGTCTGGAACACTTCCATCACTGAGGCCGCACACAAAATAATGAGGGCCAAGGTCTGCCGGACCATAGGAAATGCAACTGCCTTCCATCACTTCTGCCTTGGCTACTCCAAACAACCTGATCTGCCAATGGATAGGTTCATGGATTAGTGAGCAGCAAACACTTGAAAATGACAACGATGGTGAAGACTAGCGAGTATACACTAATTTCAAACTAATTTGATTTTTCGAGAGACTCACCTGGAACCCAGCTGAATCGCTCGGTTTTGATGTTTCCAGGCAACGGAATGTGTTGCACCAGGCCGCCTCATATTTCGGTCGCTACGATATTCGAGATATCGCGATACATGTATATTTTGTAATGCACTACTCATAAGGTTGCTGAAAACTCCCCGAGTTTCAGTTTTCAGCAACCTTATGAGTAGTGCATTACAAAATATAATGGTGAAGACTGTTTTAAGTTTACAATGGCACACACGCAGCTAAATTGTTTGTACAGGTCATTTAAACATGGATATTATCACGAACTTACTTGCTTTTCATTAGGGCGTAGCACATCAGCAATGAAAAGAGCAGTTTGTGGTTTTCGAACAGGGAACGACAAATGTTCCGATAGACGCTGTTGGTGAAGTAATTGTTCAGTAGTTCTATGCGTTCTTCTAAAACGTTTGATTTCTCACTGTTGGCGATAGACTGAATCAAGGCAAATGGGGAACCAGGTTGTGTCATTAGCGGAAAAACATGGTATTTAGTCATTCGACGATAGTTTTAGTTCTTAGCAAATATGACAACAAGTTCAACTGGATGAGGATGGCACCGTCAGAAATACGAGAAATCTGTAGCTGAAATTTTCTTTAAGGCCGTCAAATAGGTGTTTTTTGCGTGGATTCTCTGCTTCCAAGATGGGAGAGCACAGTATTTGTACTGTATGCCATTTGCCATTTTTGAGTTGGCTGAAGCTACTAGTAGTGCCTCAGTAGTATCCGAATACGTGATCTAGTCCTAGTTGGCATGATCGCCTGGTTAATTCACAAAACTTGATGAATAGCACTTGTTAGAGGATCACATCGCCTCTTCATTGTAGATGCATGTCGCTGTCGTCCGGGGAAGTATCACCACGCAAACCGTCAGGCGGTTTACGAACTCGGAAAAGGACATGGCACTGATAGTCCTGCATCCCCCTTGGGATCTGTTAGTATTTTTAGCTTATTCAACCTAAGACTGCTATTTGACCACCATTAGCGCATGCTCTTCAACACCATCCTTAGTATAAAAACGGAAACGACGAAAAGTTTCACACGAAGGCTGATACTCTCCTTCGATCAGCTCCAATCAGTCCTCCTATTGCTGGGAGGCTTTAACTCCAAGGTTGCTTGAGGCCCATGACTGTAGGTGGTTGATCTCGGACGCCGTGATGTCAGGACTGTGAATCCTAACAGCGACCACTCACTCATTCACTAGCATGGAATTCTGTTCCAAAGATTAATACATTGTTGCATGGATAAACGGAGACAAGGATCTGAACAAACTCCTGGACAGTCCCAAGTGGTGGATAGACTACACTGGAGAACAATGAGGCAGTCACTGATCCCTCAACAACAAGTAAACATGCGATCACGGACTGGACGAGCCGCCGGAGAGAACATGTGTACGGAAAATCTCCTTAGGTATTGAGGTCCGTTCCTGTAGCATGTATTTCTACAACTGACCCATATTATCTGACAGAAGTCGGATCTGATGAAGTTCAGTATGGTATGGTAGATACACCCAGATGCTTCTGTGGTGTTCTGGTTGCTGTAGGATCCAATATATTAGCAGGGGGCTGGATGAATTAGGATTTTTCAGCTGCCAGCCACTGTTCATCACCATCAAACGCCACACGCCAAAAATGAATTCAATGGGACTTTTAGTCTGGCGATCCTTAACTCTGAAAATACCCGCTCTCATTGTTGAGCCATATTCTTCTGCTTCACATTGATGGGTCCTCAAACTTGCAAACTCTCCAGTCTATTGGGTGAATAGCGGAGAAAGTGTACACTACACCACTGGTCATGAGATCGACGGTGACAGTATACTTGCGCCAGCGCCTTCAGTTTATTCCGTGTACGGTCAGGCAACTTGGGACATTTACACGGGAAAATCCCAGACTATGGTGTAGATTTCTGATTCCATTACCGAAATGGATGGTCTAACAAACTGCAGATACAATATCTCGAAACTTACGGATAAAAACAGATTGATGAACCAGTTAAGGGAATACTGGTACATTGGATCAATGTTGTTTAGATCCGATATGCAGAAGAACAAGAGTGATCCGTGCTCGGCCACTGGCTTGTATGCATTTCGCGCAGCATCAATTTCCAGTTGGGTTGCCTCTGCGATAACCTGTTTCTCTGTGATCTCCTCACTCAACTTTTTAGATGAACTCAACACGTTGATTGCAGTTTCATTCTCTAGAATATTACCCTGAGAAACACTCAGTACTTCGAGAATTTTGTCCTCCAATTCTTTGAGTTGTCGCTTGTTGTCGGCCGAAGTAACAATCAGTTCGTTTTTGGTGGCTTCCAGTTCTGGCTTTTCCGCCGCTGTGACCAGACCCAAAAGTTGATCCCCTAATCCTAGTGGGGTGATCATGAAGTTGATCAGACACACTTTGACAGACACTTCTGGTAAATAGTGCGGATTACGTAACCGAGTGGTGATGTAGAACCGAAAATCTGGATGGTATTCAATCACATTATCGCCTAGTCGCATATATAGGGCACCCTGTGATTTGAAAACGATACGCTGTAATATTGGTTCCAGAACAGGATCCAATTGTTCACCGACGTTTTCCATGAGAACTGGCATGCCGAACTGAATGGCATTTTCCAATGTGCGCAGGTAATTCGCGTCGCTCAGTTTGACCACATTCAGTTCACGGCTTTTCTCCATGTTTTTTATCCACTTGTTCGCTTGACCTGTGGGTAATAATGAACGGGGGAACACCAAATAGTGGAAAGCTAAGCAGTTTGTTTATTATGCAAGAGATATTCGTTTGTGTTGAACGCGTGAGCTCCCATGGGCGCTCGTTTGCCTCCGTTTGCACTTTTTCACTGTTCACGCTAATGGAACGAATCTGACAAATTGCCGATTGTTCTGATGACTAATAACTCGCCTGGAGAGGGGTATTTGTTTACCGATAGTTTTCAAACAATGCATGAAACTGATACTGTTTGCATTAGCTAAACTGAATCCCATGGATTGGATCTAAGTCCAAGTTACCGTGGATGGTCTGCACTTCAGAAAACAGATTCAATGCTTCTGGCGGACCACTGTCCAACCCACGGATTCAGTAGTCATCTAACAGCGTGCTTCATCCACACTTTTTCAGTTCCGTTTGGTAGAAGTCAAAACGCCTCTGTGTGGATCAGTAGCTCCAACACTCGTTCCATCGGAACTTTGACCTTCATGCTGCTCGACATATCATCAGACCTTTTTGATTCGAATAATGTCTTTGCTGTTCTCAGGAAAGTTCAGTTTCCTCCTAATTCGTCGCGAAAAACGAACTAACGTGGCCAATGGTTTCGTACATATCTTCAGATAGCACCGCCTTCACAAACAAAAACTTAGTTTCTAGCATACTGTGGCTGGGTTGGAGGTTTCCAGGAGGGAAAATCTATCAAGGATGATCGATTGGTGTTTTTTAATACTACTGACTAGTATTTTCTCCAAAAAAGTTGAGAACGGTACAACACGTATGTTACAGGGTAAGGAAACTGTTGGACGCCGGTAAAAAGTAGAGTTTAGCATTTACACAAAAATTTGTGGTTTCCAATCCCACTCATGTTTGAGAAACCAGTCAGAAACTGGTAAAGGGTGCTACATCACATAACCAATGACCGGGCTTATACAGGGTGTGTGATCTCATGCTATTGAGTAGTGTAAGAATATGGGTTTCTTCTGAACCCTGTCAGCGGAACTACTTGACTCGGTAGCGTTCAAGCTGCTTCGTACTCATGGCCACAAGTTCAAGATGGATTTCATCGTAAACTTCAATTACCTTGTGGGTCGATGCATAGTGACCAACGATCAGAATTTGTCACAATTATCCCGTTGTCGATCGAGAAGCTGTCGACTGGCAATCCGGCAATATTCCAACTCCGTATCTTCACTGGATCTCCAAGCGTGTCCGCGATACGAAACACTTCAGAGCAAGGAACTTCCAATTTGATACACAGTTCGTGCCATTCCTGTGAAATTCCGGCTCGAAAGTCCACGGTGAATGGTCCCAGGTAGGCAACCACTCCAGCACTCAGCAACACATCTCCGATGATATTGTGGTAACGGTGCTATGAGTAGAAAGGAAATCATGCACAAATATGTAACGAATAATATAAAGATCGATGTGATAAAATCACGGCATTCATGGGCATTTGTGAAAAACTTTTGGAACTTTCTATGCCATGCAATGTTTTCATAATGTTTTCATAACAGTCTTCTGAGACATCTAAAAAATGGTCACTCAGCTGTCCTGTCTAGGCTTGGGCAACCGGACAGCATTCCAGCCCTCGTGCTTTCTTCGGGTAGCATGGCAGGTAGGCACTGGAAGGGTGTTGCAGCTGAACGATTCGATTCAGCTGTGAAGTCCGTACTTTTGAAGATTCCAATTTTTCAGGAGTATATTTCATACAAGAGGCATCGACCGTACATGTAAATAGACGGCTTCAGTAAGGTTTATAGAGGTAGACACTTGGTAAAGTCAGTCTACTCAAAAGTCCAAACTTTACAGGTGTAACTGGACAATTCATCCTCAAATGTTCCCCTAAATCAGATTAGGAAGCACATCAGTTAGGGAACAAATGAGAGCTACGAACGAAGAATCACGAGTAAATCAGTAAACGATTTGTGAAAAAAGACTCATTTGGTGGCACTGGCTACCGAATACCTGTTGGAAAAAAGAGTTTATACGACTACAAAAAAGACACTGTGATCACAAGCCAAAAACCGACCTTCAGCATGGCAGCTGCGTCTGTCCATCGAGTCTTCTCTCCTCCCAGTCCACTTATTAATTTCTCTGCTCGATCAAGTTTCTTACTGCACAACTCGATATTATCTTCCAGATCCTGTTTCTTGGTTTGCATTTCGTCCAGTTGATCCTGAAGAGCCTGGAATTTGGCCTGTACTTCATCCAGAGCCGCTTTCTTTTCCGCCAACCTGGCCATCTAAGAGTGAAAATATTTACCATGCTTGGTATGACGATATAAAGAAGGGTGGAGAAGTTCTGAGAGAATGCAACGGGAAACTATCTGTACCCATGGTTCAAGATCCAGTGAGTATACCTTTTGAACAGGGCAGATTCGAAGTGTCTTGTGTTGACGAAAACTCGGGGACTACGCCCAAGAGGAGCGAAACCAGTCATGGGCTGTCGACGAGTTTTCAGCTTTTCAGTTTCTCAGGATGTTAGAAATATTAATGAGGTTGGAGGCATCAGCGTCAGCGGATACCCTGCTTCTTCATAGAATAGGATGCCCAGACCGAAATCGGCAAGTAGTGGGAAGGGATTGCTTCTATTGGCTTAACTCCTTCTTCAATGATGATTAAAGTGGTGCCTGGATGTACTGATATGGAAGGGAAGGCGTTTGATTAGAGCTCGGCTCGTCGCAAATTGATGGCGCTTGACGCTAGCAAACTTGGAGAGTACACTCATCACATGACGAGTCGCCACAAATACCTCTGTAAAAGAACTGAGTTCGCGACCAATGAGGAGGCTCTAACTCCTGTGTTATCTCAGGTCGTTTTTACCAGTCGCATGACAAGTACTTGATCGGTGCACATATTCTCAAAAAGATGACTTGCTTCATAAAGTTTTATTGCTTCACTGTTGCCATTCCGCTACACCTAGCTTCATCACTTTGGATGACCTCCCTCCAAACTAAATTTCTGTTTTTTAAAAACGGATGTTTAATTGTTCAAACACAAGAAGAAAATTCATTCATGAGGTTGGAAGCGGCGGAAATCCAGCTGCAAGTGACAAAACTGATGTCCTAATTACAAGTACTTTTATCGTATTGCTTCGGAAGGCAGTAGTTCATGAAACATACCAGTTCAATCCAGTTAAAGTAAGCTGAACATCCGTTCTCCATGAAATGCACCAGCTGGTGGCATTTGAAAGATAGCCTAATTTGCGTCTATACAGCCTGCAAAAAATCAAACCCCTGGCGCTCGCGTTTCGTCTGACCGCTAGTTTTGGGTGAAATTCTAAGTGAAGCTTTCGCAGCTCGTAGTAAGCATGCGCACGGAAGCAGTTACAAGGCTCCGGTAAATTTTGACGCAAGTGTTCGAGCTGTCGTGGGATCAGTACAGGTACAGTATTGCCATTGGCATGGGTGGAGTGGCCGTGCAGTCATACAGCTGTACTCAATCGCGCAAACGTGCCCCGCCCCATATACTGTTTACATCAGGCAGCAGTGTTTTCATTTCCACGAGGTCGCCACACAGTCAAGACGCTGAAAAACATCATAGGAAACAGCGCTACACAGGTCGAATCCGAATGCAATGGTTTTTAACGCCGAGCTTGGTAATATACTTGCAGCCATACCCGAGCTACCGGTGTAACGGTGATACTACTGATGGGAGGGCATGCGAGTAGTATGTTTTCTCGTAAATCCGCTTTTCGTCTCTTGAAAAGTGAGATCTATTACGGAATTTGTGGAGTCACTTTGTAGCATTTTCTCGGATTTGAGCAACGGTCAGTGAATATCCAGGAAAGTTCAGGAAGACGCATTCAAGGAGAAGATGGTTATTCAGTTTTTGTAAATAAGATACATATGGAAGTTTTGCTTCCCTCTCCAATAGTCTGTACCTGTTCAGTTGGCATTTTCTAATGGACAACAATGCAGCGAAGGCCTTCTTCCTTTCAGTTAAAAAACGTACTACTCGCACGCCCTCCCATCAGTAGCATCACTGTTACACCGGTAGTTCGACCTGCGTGTTTTGAATAAGTCTACACAAATGTGTTCGACGCACACAAAAGTTTCAAGAATCTGTATAATGTGAAGTATACACAGTTCAGTTCCCAAGTTTGTCAACAAGTAGATAGGTGGCCAAAACAACGATAAGTTTCATCTAAGCGAACTGAAAGCGCTAGGGGGAGGGGTCACGGTCAGCTTGACAATTACAAAAGTACACAAAGAGTTGGGAAACATCACAGTTGCTACCCCTCCCTCTGTTGCTTTGGCAGTTTTCCTCGAACACTTTTGGGAAAGGCTCTCGCTTAACTCTGATCAAAACATGCTACTCATTAGAGTGAATGTTTCATGCAAGGCACTTCTTGTTGGTCATTAGCAGTAGTTGTAGCGTGTTTTGGTTTGGTCAAATTACTTTCCTCAGCAAGTGTTAGAATCTGTTGTTATTCGGTTGAGTAGATTGTCCTTAACCTATGTGGCAGTTTGGAAAGGCGAAAACAAAAAAGCTTTGTGTAGCCAAATAAGCGACTGCAAATAAGCTCGTCGGTTATGGCCTTCTTTAACCAATGCAAAGGCCGTCTCATGGGCTGACATTCATGGTAGCTAAGTATTTGCGTAGTACACGATACTACTTATAAGATTGATGAAAACGATTAAATATGATTCATGTAACTTCAGGGACTGCATTCCCGAAAAGGCGAGACCATTGGTAGGCTATCAGATTGTGTGAGTACCCTTAGAGGTGGTTTTCCAGATGGAAAGCATGCGTCGGTTTCTTAGATAGCAACCCAGACGAAACACCAGGTGTCCTGTAATCACCATCATAACCATGCTGATGTTGTCCAGCTTCACTCGGTATCCTGTGGTTCTCTGCGGCGGCAAGACTGAAAACTATCTGCAGGTGCGATTTGTTGATACAGTGCGCAACAACAGTGCACCGCTACGTCGCGGCCACCACTGAGTTACGTTTTACGAATGTCGACGTAATGAGGTGATCCCATTTATTGGTGTGCGGAGTGGATGGAAAGTAAAACTTACTGACGGGTCATTTCCACTTTTATAAGGAGTGAACAAAGCTCATTGAAATGCTTCTGTATTAGAAAGTTAGTTCCAGGTGTTAGAAAAACGGTTAAACAATTTATGGGTTTTCGTTTACGACAGGACCTCAATTTACGTCTTGTTACTGACTAAAATAAGTGTCCTTTTCGTCAACAGTCCGGTCGACAGACCCTGCTAACTTCTTCCGTGGGCAGTTTTCTCATTTTCGCAATTTTGGAGACACAATAAAGCAGTTGATAGGAGCCTTTTTTCAGAAGCGTTCACTCCCCTCACTTCTAACGGCTATGACTACTCACCTGCAATTCCAATTCGGCTTCAGCAACTGCCAGTTTCTCTTTTTTTGGGGCTACAATTTTCGCCACCGCATCGTATTTGTCCAACGCAATAATCCATTTGCACAGTCCTTCGCAAGCCGTACTCGCATTGCGCACAATTTTTGGATCGAAATCTGTGTTCGGAATATAGTTGTCACGTATCTTTTTGATCACAAGTGGTGGAATATGATCAATGTTGTAATTACGCAGACGGTCGAGAAATTTCAGATCACCCAGTAGTTTCAGTGAAGGTCCCCAAAAGTCTTCGGTCATCCGACCAGTTCCATCCGGTCGGCGATCTGGTTTTTCCCCCAGCATGATGCAGACGGCCTCCATTACCAACTTGACCACGTTGGGTGGATTCTTCATGGACTTTACGAGGGTGATATCCTAGAGTTGAATGAGGAGAAATTCAGGAGATGTAGGGCATTAGTGAGTCTACTATCCGGGAACTACTAGTTCATGGAATCGGATAGCATCGGCATCAACAATGTGACTAGGTAAGTGCATCATTCATACGTTGACTGATGATTTTATCAAAAATTTGGGCCGGTAACAACTCAATGCAAGTGTGTCGTAGAATACAGGTAGCCTATGAGCCCAGCCTAGTACGGCGGATGCAGTCAAACGATCCCCAGCCGTACGGATGTGTCGGCCTAGCCACCTGTGTGAATTAACCTGATAAGACATTGCTGGCAGACGGCTTGAAACAATTGAAGATAACTTCAGTCAATTCCGTATCGAAGTCAAGTAGGCGGTGGAGCTGAACGTAACCCCTAAAATATGTGAACTCGGTTGTACATGTAACGACCAATCAAATCTCTCAGTGATGAGTGAATAAAACCGCTCAGGCTATCCCGTTTTCTGCTTCGTGTCGTGTACCAATGAGATCCAAAGTGAAACGATCGATAAACTTACACTTTGCTTGAGTGTATCAAGAGATGCCAGTGCATCTTTCAGAATAGGCATCGCTTCCGCCAAATCAGCTTCACACTCATCCTTGATCGCCTTTGAGGCCGCTGCGGCCTGGTTTGCCATCAATTGATCCGCGGCCACAACCTCTCTCTGGGCCTCCACTTCCACTGAGTCCTGAGCAATTTTTCGCAGGAGAATATCCGTCTCTGCACTGGTTTCCATCAGCAGAGGCTGTAAATTACGAAGCTCGATTTGCATTTTCCCAACCTCACTGGCTGCGAATTCCAACTTTTGCAAACCGGTCAGGTAGCGATTGCGCATCGTGGTGAGTTCTGCACGTTTTCTGGTTAAAAGCTTCTTGAAAGTGAGAATCATTTCCAAATATGAGGTTGGTGTGACATAGCTATGTCTCCGCAATACTTCCAAGAACCTGTGAACATGATCAAAGAGAGTTTTTACCGAATCAGTTCCTAAATTAGGTGAGCCACAACGAGGGATACTTTAAACTCTACGTTGGCTTTATCACCTGACTTGCTCTGCACAGCGTAAAAAGTAACGAAACGAATCCGCCTTGTAAGTTCCGGAGGTCAAATACGCAACCGCACTAGATCAAACATCCCACAGCTTATATTAAATTGAAAACTTCTGATGTTTAGTATGCGATTTTCCGTTATGAACAATTCTGGCAGTTCACAAGGAAGGGTGAAAGTGAAGTACTAAATGGTTCAACAAAATTGAAAAGAATATCTACAACAGAACACTACCAGATAGTGATCCTTCGATGGGGGAATCGACAGTTTAGAAAATTTGTTCAGTCAACGAAATACACTCATTTGCAAACTAATTTGGTTTGGTTTTAGACTCACCTGGAACCCAACTGAATCTCTCGTTTGTGATGTGTCCAGGCAACTGAATGTGCTTCACCAGGCCACCTCATGTTTCAGTCGCTACGATATTCGAGATATCTTAGTATATTTTTATAAAGGAAACTACTCACAAGGTTGCTGAAAATTCTTCGACAGCTCACGACCGGTTTCACCCTTGTTGGGGCTCATCAGGTAGGCGCAGTCCTCCAGTTTCCATTAACTTTATGTTCTACTTGAAACCAAATTGATAAGCCCCAAGAAGGGCAAAACCGGTCGGGGGCTATCGACGAATTTTCAGCAACCTTATGAGTAGTGCATTACAAATTCGTTCAATCAACTTTTCTTTGTATGCGTATGTCGGAATGCAATCCTCCTGTTCCCTTGTTTTATCAAGGCTACCTGCATATTGTTTAAAGCCAAAACCCTTTTCGGAGTTTCAGCTTTTCGACGTTACATTTTCACAAATTTCCTCACCAAAAGGCGCAGGTGATGAGACTTGATCCGAGTTGTCCCACATGCTTGGAAGAAAACCACTCCTATTTAATAAATTTGTTCCTAGCGGAATAAAACTTGGATTAGCACTCGCTTTTAGTGCCAACACCCCCCTGATTAGGAACAGTGACGAGTGAAATCATGAAAACCTGGATTTGAATGATATAAGTAAACGAAAGGTGGGCTGTACAGAAGCATCGGTCACGTGTCTAATGTCACGTGCTAATTATACAGACTGGAATAGAATAAATGAAGCGCAACTATGCATCGGATAGTTCACAAAACGCACCTTTCCGAAAGTTTTCGTACACTTTCATGAAAGTACTTGCATAGATAGACAGAAGACTCTCGGGTGTTGTCAGCAAATTCGATCTCTTCAAAGTACTTGTTTGCAACCATCTCCAGAGCATCTTCAGGCCAGACCTTCAGGGGTAAAAGCAACAGGGCACATAAATAATGTATTGACGTATTGCCGCACAATGGGATAGAATACAACCAATGATGTGGTTTAAGAATACAGCTCAGATGTGCTTCGTATTTTTTGGAGGTTGGTTCTGTGATTCTGAGTCTGCTGTGAGATGACCCAGCATCGCAGGGACTTACAAGATAGTCAGTGAGGAAAGCATTCAATGGATCTGCAGACATCGGTGAACAACGGTCGGTGGAACGACAGCAATGCCCCACAGGGCACTGCAGTCTAACAATTGTATATGAGCCAAAATAAAGCTCCTTTGAAAACTGATTTTCCTACTTTGGTTTCCCCAGCTTCTCGTACTAGAAGCGTGGGATCTTTTTGTAAGGAGCTTTACAGGTATTTGACGCGACTGGCTCATGATAGCTGACTAGTAACTGTGAAGAGTAAGCAAAACAAAACGGGAACGTAAATTATCAGTAACACTAACATTAGTACTACTAATACTACTTACAATATGGTGCTGTTAGTGTGAGGAGCTTTGGCAAATTTCAATTGAGACTTCATCTTGTAAGTGAAGCCAGCGTATGCTAAAAGCCAGGAAGCACCATACAGCTGTTTCTTTCGTATCGGAAATGGTCAACAGTGTACATTCCAGTTGGGTATCTCCAAATCATGACTTTCTGACTCATAGTTTGGACACTTAATCGTCCGAATACGAGCGGCCGCAAGCTGCTTATGGTGTATTATAGTCTTCGCTGCATTTCGATGGATCAGGTTGTACGTAAGCGATAGGAGAGACTGTCGAATGTAACGGAGAACGATGGAGATATGTTGCCTGAGGTGAATCTGTCCGCAAATGTTGGATTTCTATCCTTGGGTCTCTGTACATTCGAACGCGAGGGTACTTTTGATCATTCAGATTTATAGATTCACAAGTGTTTGGCTCGATCGCCCATTTTGAGGATGTCCTCAAGTTCTGTATGATCTTGAAGATATCAAACCGCAGATAAGCCATGAACAACTGCGTCTCAGCTGATCCGACCGTCGGATAGAATCAAGGAAACTTTCTTTTCACATTCTCATCTCACCGCTAGGCTCCCCTGACTCATCTGGTCTGATTTATTGGGAGACATGCTGGAAAATACCGGCGCGTAGTCTGCCACTGACATCAGCCTTCTTACTCTTTTTTGCACTTGTTGTCGGTTTTGCAAAGGATGGTCCTAGCAGTGAATCTGCCAAAAGAAACACGCCGGTTTTGCAATGGTCCTAGCAGTGAATCTGCCAAAAGAAACACGGTTACCTGCGCCCAAACCAACTCGGTGGACTATTGCAACTTCCACCCACTACGATAAATCCTTCATTTGTACATTCCCATTTTTGGTATTCTATTCGACTCGATTAAGGTGTTGTAACCTCACGTTCTTAAAACAAATTTTATTAGTGTCGCTTTCTAGCCTTCTGATTTATCAAGTGGCTTTTGTTGTTAACAATAGAGAACACTAATAATTGGAAATCCATCCATTGATTAATGCGCGAGCGATGGTATCTGCGGAAGTGTCACGTATTGGGATGGCTTGGGGCCACCGCCTAAAACGATCGACACAAG